AGCAGCTGATGGGCCGGGGGGTGGGCGCTGCGTCCTGGCTCTCGAGAATGGTGTTACTTTGAGGCCAAGGGCAGCCCCTCCAGAGGATGCGGCCCACCCCCGGGTTGCTGTGACCAGAGGCCAGTGAGTCGGCTGGTTGGGAAGGGGCAGGCAGTGGCCAGAGCAGAGGACGCCCCTGCGGGGTGGCCACGATGCCGGAGGGCAGGCCTTGTTCAGCACCAAGAGGTTTTTCCTGAGCTGGGGTGACTGAAAACCATGGAAAGATTGCAGGCAGGTGTGGCCTATCTAAAAATGCTGGCTGGCAGTGAGGCTGAGATGCCGCGGGAGGCCGCGGTGATGGCCAGAGCACAGATCTGCCTGGGTCCTCTCTCCAGCTCTGACCTGGGTCACGTACCTCAAAGCCTCCTCTCGCTCTCTCCTCTCCTCCTCGCCCTCCCTGGCACACTCCAGCTCCTTCTCCAGGTCGGCCTTTGTCTGCAGGAGCTGTTTCACTTCCAAACTGCACACACAGAACGGGATACTCGTCAGCGTTCACAAAAAAACAGAGGTTGTGACAGAGCAGGAAGGTGCTTCAGAAAAGTGACAGCACTCAATGATTCCTTAGGACAGCGGGTGGTGAGGCAGGAGGAGCCCGATAGGGCCATTTCTAATCACACAGCACCAAGGACAGACCTCAGGGCCCTGCCTCCCCTGAACCCAGCACCTGCTGTGTGCAGGGGATCAACAGGACTAAGCCATACAAAGGGGAGGTGCCCCTCCAACCACCACGTATCCGCGTGGACCTTGCGCCAAGGGAGCTGCAGGCAGGCGCCTGGTCCGTGAACGGGGCAGGGCTGGCCCTGCCTAGACCATGGCACTGCCTGCTCGGGGTCAAGCTGCGCTACTCCTAGAAGCGTTTCTTGTGTCCCATGTGGCGCAATGGCTACTTCCTGGCCTTTGATGGAGACTAGTGTCTGTGTCTCAGATGGGCGGTACACTGTCTATGAGCCCTGACTGCTCTGGGCCTGTGAATTTTGGTATTAAATGAGAGAAACCCTAGAGTGCTTAGCAGAGCACCTGTCACACAGTAAGGGCTCATAAGAGGTGGCTCTTGTCATGTCACTTGACAGCTTCATAGATAATTCCAGAAGTTATTTACCTTTCACAATGACTACCTTAAAGTTTTTTTTTACCTGATGTCTATGAATTCTGTAATGACGAGCTTACCTGGAAAAGCTTGTCGTGAAATACTAATTTTTACAAACACATAATCAATTGGCGTAAATGTGCTCTGAAACCTCACATGGGGGAAAGGACAGTGGTGACAGGTTGGGCTTCTGCTGTTCAGAGCAGGCAGCAGAGAACTTAACAGGCTTGGAGGCACTAGCCGAGTTCTCCTCAGACCCTCAGGTGCACACAAATCCCCTGTAGGGCTGGCCACGGTGGCTCACACCTGTAATCCCAGCACTTTGGGAGGCCAAGGTAGGCAGATCACTTGAGATCAGGAGTTCGAGACTCAGCCTGGCCAACATGGCAAAACCCCATCTCAACAAAAATACAAAAATTAGCCAGGTGTGGTGGCGTGTGCCTGTAGTCCCAGCTACTCAAGAGGCTGAGGCAGGAGAATCACTTGAATTCAGGAAGCAGAGTTTGCAGTGAGCTGAGATTGTGCCACTGCACTCCAGCCTGGGTAACAGAGTGAGATTCTGCCTCAAAGAAAAAAAAAATCATCTGCAGATCCCATTGGACACAGAGAGTGATTCTGAAGGCCAGGGGCAGGGCCTGGGCTCCTGCATTCTAACCAGCTCCCAGCTGCTGCTGCTGGCTTCACAGGCCACTCTGACAGGCAAGTCACTGTAGTTCTTGCAAACTAGAGAGAAGCATCATTCCAAAGACAATGGAGATGGCTGACTCATGATAGAGCCAAGCCCAGAGGAGCCACAAACAGGACTAGTACAGGAGCCAGGCCGAGTGTTATGTGGCCACAGACTGTGGAGCTCTAGAGCAGCCTGTGAGGCCCTCCCTTCCCAACCCTGTGGTCACACCAATTATTTTACAGCATTTATGTCTTCTTTTGCTTTTCTTTTTGAGACAAAGTGTCACTGTCACCCAGGCTGGCATGCAGTGGTACAATAATAGCTCACTGCAGCCTCAACTTCCCAGGCTCAAGTGATTCTCCCACCAAAACTTCCCAAATAGCTGAGATTACAGGCTTGAGCCACCATGACTGGCTAATTTTTGTAAATAAAGCGTTTCACCATGCTGCCCAGGTTGGTCTACAACTCCTGAGCTCAGGCAATCCTGCCATCTTGCCCTCCCAAAGTGCTGGTATTATAGGTGTGAGCCACTGTGTCAGGCTGGAGCATTTATGCTTTATTTGATATGTATAAATTTATCATATGCCATTAAACATATTACTGAATTAAGACCATGCTGCATAAAATCTAATTGCATTTGTAGAAATCAATGAAAGTAAATTCCTCTCTAATAGACAATTTGAAGATCCCTCTGGAATTCAGGGTGGAGAGATTTAAATGTGCTCTCCCACTGTTCCCCACACTTTTTTTTTGAGTTAAGGTCTCACTCAGTTGCCTAAGCTAGAGTGCAGTGACACGATCATGGCTCACTGCGACCTTGAACTCTTGGGTTCAAGGGATCCTCCTATCTTGGCCTCCTAAGTAACTGGGAGGCATGAGCCACCACACCTAGTTAATTTTTAAAATTTTTTGTAGAGATAGAGTCTTGCTATATTGCCCAGGCTGGTCTGAAACTCCTGGCCTCAAGCAATCTTCCCACTCCGGCCTCCCAAAGTGCTGGGATTACAGGCATGCCTGGCCCTTCATGCTTTTCATGATGTAATATGGTCAGTTAGTGTCTTTTTTTTTAATCACTAAAGCTGCCTTTATTTCACAACCAAAATGTAGGAAGTTTTAGAATCATATAAAAATATTTATGCATTGACTATTACGAGCTGAATAGTTTCCCAAATTCACAACTGCTTAACCTGGCAAAAATCAGTTTCCATAGGGAGTGAGAGCTGCTTCCCTGATGAGGTTGGTGGCGGGGCCTCAGGAGGACCCCCTCTCTCTGCAGCAGCTGCATTTGTAGGCCAGTTGGCGGGGCCTCGGGAGGACTTACTCTCTCTGCAACAGCTGTTCCTGCAGGGCGGTCCGCTCTTCCTTCAGGTCTCTCACAGCCCCTTGGAGACACTCGTGGTCCTCGTGGCAGTCCTCTCGTGGTTGTCTGTGCAGTGCAGAGCTGGATGCGGGGCGGGCTGGCAGGTGTGATCTGACTGGCTCTGCGGCGTGTGATTCTGAGCTCTCCATCACACTTAGTTTCTGGAAGCAACACAGGCATGTGTTAGATGCTAGTTCTCATTTCTACTTTCTATTTACCAAACTCAGAAAAGAGACACTGAACCAGGGTGAACTGAATCTCCAGCAGGGCCATGAGAAAGCTTTGAGGGGACCCGAGTTAGCTGGAGACGCCAAAGGGCACAGGGCTGCTGGAAGAGCACGCTCCCTGCTCCGCTCTCTTTAATCAGAAGCAGGGCACCCGCAGACCCCCACCGAGGCAAGGCACAGACAGAAGCCAGTAAAAGAGAGGAAGGCACAAGGGGAGAGAAGTCAAACAATTTTGTGATCATCTACCCTCCTGTCCCTCTAGAACTGCTGACATTTTCAACCTTCACACTCTCCATCTCAAGTGACATTCTGGTGTTGCCAGCAAAGCGCTGCTGAGCCTGTCCCTGCCTCCATTCCTGCCTTTCAGCTCTCGGATGTGCTGTCCACTGTGCCTCCAGGTGCCTTGACTTCCCAACAAGTTTTATATTTTAAATACCCACAATTTATAGAAGCATTTTTTTTCTTAAGAGACAGGGTCTGGCTCTGTCACCTAGGCTGGAGGGTAATCACAGCTCACTGCAGCCTTCAACTCCTGGGCTCAAGTGCTCCTCCTGCCTCAGCTTCCCAAGTGGCTGGGACTACAGGTGTGCACCACCACGCCCAGCTAATTGTTTTTCGTTTTGTAGAGATGGGGTCTTGCAAAAACAAACAAACAAACAAACAAACAAACAAAAAACCAAACGAATAATAAAAAAAGAGATGAGGTCTTGCTATGTTGCCCTGGCAAGCCTCTAACTCCTGGGCTCAAGTGATCCTCCCAGCTCAGCCTCCTCAAGTACTGGGATTACAGGTGTGAGCCATTGCACCTGGCTGGTTTTCTATGTTGTAAATATGTAAAACTATTTTTAAAAAACATTTTGTCCTCGAAGTTTACTCTGCTTGGCCAAACAACACAGATGCTCTCACTTACTATTTAAAATACAAAGGTCCAGGCTCAGTGTGGTGGCTTACACCTATAATCCCAGCACTTTGGGAGGCTGAGGTGGGCAGATCACTTGAGGTTATGAGTTTGAGACCTGTCTGGCCAACATGGTGAAACCCCATCTCTACTAAAAATACAAAAATTAGCTGGGCATGGTGGCGGTCACCTGTAATCCCAGCTACTCAGGAGGCTGAGGCAGAAGAATTGCTTAAACCCAGGAGGTGAAGGTTGTAGTGAGCTGAGATTGCACCACCGCATACCAGCCTGGGCAACAGAGCAAGACTCCGTCTCAAAAAAAAAAAAAAAAAACCCAGAAAACAAAGGTCCAATTTCAACAGAAGCAGCCTGATTCCTACTTTGCAAAGTCACATAGCGGATATGGGAAAATGTTTATTTCCCAGAATTTCTAATTGGCCAGGGGTAGGTGAACAGTTTTCTGTGGATTCCAACATGACTCGAGTGGTGGGAAGCAGTGCCTGGTTGACAGCGGGCAGCGCACAGCCCACAGCCTGCATGGGCGGACTGGACTGTGAGGGGATCCAGTGCGAAGCATCTGCCTGCAGCCATGCCCAGAAGCTCACAGCCCAGCGAGGGGAGCGAGAGCTACCTTCAGCCTGGTCTAGACCTGAGTGAAGCCTCCTTACAGTTGGTGTGTGGCGCTGCCTGGCAGACAGCCAATGCCATGCTCAGCGCCACCTTCCCCACCCTGTGAGCTGTCCCCACAGCATAAGGCCTATGGTCGTCAACAACAGGAGCAGTGAGATGCCTGCTCACCTTCTCCAGCTCCACAATGCGCCTCAGCAGCCGGGGCTTGCTCCACTCCACGTAACCTGATGGAAGCAACGCGGTTTCAAAACGGCCGTCCTGGTGAGCACTGCCGGCAGGGCCACCCTTCTCAGGCACAGCCTGAGGCTCTTCTTCCGCAGCTGGAGCAGCCTGAGGGGCCCCAGAGCCACACCAACAGGTCCTGGCCACCCAAGGGTTTCAACAGCACCAATCCAGTCTCTGTCCCCTTGGACCGTGAAGAGTTGTCTGTACTAACGGCCTCCAAGCGTCTCAGGGTTACATTCTTTCCCAATTCCACCTCACCAAGCCATTAAGACGGTTCTCATCAAGATCTCTGATGACTGTCACTCTGCCAAACTAACTGTCGGTTCTCGGCCTGTCCCTGGCCTGCACTTGCTTCCTGTGTGCACAGCTTCTCGCTGGCTGCTCCTCCCCTCTGCCTTGCTGGCTGCCCCTCGCCCCCCATACACCGCCAGGTTCAGTGCCTGACCCCTGCTCCTCTTACTCCAGTGACCTTACTTGATCCACCTAAGTGCTGGTGACCTGCACGCTCAGCTCTCCAGCCCAGGCCTCCACCCCACACCCGCAAACAGCCACTGCCTGGTCCGCACTCCCATGCACTCAGACCTCTCATGGCCCTTCCCCCGGACCTGCCCCTCTACCTTCCCCATCTCAGGAAATAGCAACTCTGTCCTTTCAGATGCTGAGACAAAACGCCTTGGAGCCTGGCTCCTCCCCCTCAGATCCTACAACCTTTCCGTAGTTTCCTTAAGCTCCGGCTTCAAGATATATCCAGACCCTGGCCACCTCTCACCACATCCACAGCTCCCCTCATCCAGGCCACCACCAGCCCCACTAGACATGTGCAGAAGGCTCTGCCTGCCACCATCGCTGTCTCTGCACAGGAGCCAGGGGGCTTCGGACAGCAGCACGGCCTCCTCTACCTTCTAATGCTTCCATGGCACCCCTAAAGCTCCCACGGCACCCTGCCCCACCCCACCGGGCCTCAGGGGCCACACTCCACATGTCTCCCAGGCACTCAGCCCTGCCCCGTCCGTCCTACCCCTGCTGCCATCTTCATGGCCGCCTCGCCCCTCCAGGTCCCGCTCAGCTGTCACTGTCTCAGGGGCGCCTGTCAGCCCTGCTTACAGCTGCATGCACCACCTGCCTCACCCCAAAATGTGTCCTCCTCCCCTCCTCCATTGCTCTCCACGGCACTTATGGCCATCTGACACGCATATGACACCATCCTGACCCAGCTCCTCCCTCCTTCCCATGGCATGGCATTGTCTCCTCGAGAGATGTCTGCGAGCCTCTGTTCTCGGCTCCATTCCCAGAGCAGGACACCACATGGCCTGAGGCAGGTGCTGGCACACAGAACTGGCATCGCCCAACGGTTCACATCTGCCCTTGTGATGCCTACGCTAGGTAGGGCCTGCCCAGTGGCCGCACCCCACCCTTCTCTGGCCTCCCTCCTGGAGTAGCTTTTGGGAAGGTACCCTGTGTCCTGGAGATGGTGGGGGAGGTGCTCAGCACTCGGTCCAGGTCCTCCTTCAGGCTCTGGTTCTCCTCCGTGAGCTCCTGGACGCTCCGGGACAAGCTCAGGAGGGCATTGCCCACCTTTTTTTGCCTTTTGGCGCCCGTCTTCTTCTCCCCCAGGGGCCTGGAATAACCAAATCGTGGGCTGAGGCTTGCATTGCTAAGCTGGTTTCATACATGCTTGAAACGAGGGGTAGGTGAATCACAGCTTGCTCTGTTGGTCATGAGCTCAGGGTGGTTTTTGCAGGTGAGTATTTGAAATCGAACAGGAAATAACTCTGAACGCCAAATACGCAAAACATTAGCACCCAAAATAGAACCCCATTCTTATGCAAGGTAAACCTGTGTAACAAAACATCATATTCAAGTATCAGTATTATATTTTCCACGCCATCACTAGAAGGTTTGTGGAAATGTATCCTGTTATACCAGGTGCCTGCAGAACAGCTTGCATTCTGCCTCTCAGCTCACGAGGTCTAAAGTACAGTTGATCCTCATTATCTGCAGATCCCATATTTGCAAATATGCTTGCTGCTAAAATGGATCCATCAGCCCAAAATCAGTACTTATGGGGGTTTTGTGGGAATTCTTGCACAGGTGATGAAAAATGCCAGTTGCTGGCATGCACATTCCCAGCTGGGGCTGAACCAGGTGTCGCTCGGCCTCCTCGCCTCAGCTCATGCAAAAACAAGTGTGCTTTCTGCAGCCTACTCTCACGTATCTTTGCTGTTTGCTAGTGACAGTGCTGCCTTGCATGGCCTGGCCCGGACTGCCGTGCTGAGTGCCATCCAGTGCCTCTAAGCTCAGGAAGGCTATGGAGATGCTTATGTGTGCGTGGGAAGCCTCGTTCAGGCCAGCCGTGAGTTTGATGAGAGTCCACAATCGCCATTAAATAGGGTGTCTTTAAACAGAAACACACATTAGCCAGGTTATAAACTGACTGGCTGATGAAAATGTTGCCATCAGACTGGGCGCAGTGGCTCATACCTGTAATCCCAGCACTTTGGGAAGCCGAGGTGGGTGGGTCACCTGAGATCAGGAGTTCGAGACCAGCCTGGACAACATGGAGAAACCCCGTCTCTACTAAAAATACAAAAATTATCCGGGCATGGTGGCATGCGCCTGTAGTTCCAACTATTTGGGAGGCTGAGGCAGGAGAATCACTTAAACCCAGAAGGTAGAGGTTGCAGTGAGCTGAGATCATGCCACTGCACTCCAGCCTGGGCAACAGAGTGAGATTCTCTCCAAAAAATAAAATTTAAAAAATGTTGTGACCAGAAGCTCCCAGGAGCCCTGTACCTCTCTAAGAGCAGTGGTTTAGTATTTACTCATTCTTTGTTCATGGAGACTTGATAGCTCTGTAAGGCGGATATGATAACTACTACACTATGGAATTCTGCAGGGACTTTATAACAGTCATAATGAGAATTGACTGTAGTTAGTATCTGGCCCTTTACAGTACAAGTTTTCCAACCAGTTTTAAGGATTAGGGGTAAAGAAAAAGAAAGTAGTGCATGACGTCAGCAAGCTACTGCAGAGACCAGTGACATGGCCAAAGCCACAGTAAGGGATCAGCCACCCAGAACTGGATGGAAGCCTGGGGTTGCATCCTTTGGGAAAGGGATATAGGAGAAAAACTTGAGGTGGCAAAGTCAACTTGTCCTTGTATGAAACATCTTCCTCAAAAGGTGGATCTGCTTTGAAACAGCACTTCCTAGCTTTAAGCTGGAAGGAAGTATATAAAATCTATAATGAACACACACAGCACTGAACACGCATCAGTCATCAACACGTGGTCACTATGAGGAACGTCTGTGAACACCGCAAATGGAAAGGTTATCGACTCTAACCCTGAACAGAACAGGGCGGTGTTGGCACTGCTGCCAAGCCAAGGGCAGTGTATACTGCTCCCACGTGACAGCCACACCGCTCTCAAAGGAGCTGCCACAACGTGACGGCAACACACAAAACACGGCTCCCAAACGGTCATCGTACTTCTTTCCAGTGGTTTCAGAACTTGCCAAGAGAGCCTGGAGACGATGTATCTGTAAATACCAAATTGAAATGCATTAAAAACACAAGGCCAGCACAGAGAAGACCTTACTCTGAAAAGACCATCATCACAGTCCTGACCGCTGCCTACGGCCAGAAGCGGGAACGAAGTGGCTGCACTTCACCTTTTGGTCGGGCTGAAGCAGGAGCAGGCTCCGGGAACCCAGCCCTGGGCCACCCGGGTTCGGCCCACCACCCGGGGCCAGGCCCGGTCCCCTCCTGCTTGGTGCCCGCCTTCCGCCCCACCACCCAGCACAGTGTACCTCCTCATAGTACGTCTCCATGGCGATTCGCATCTCTTCCAAGTTGGTTGTCTTCATATCGGTCTGGAGTTTGCTGAAAACCCAAGTTCAGCGTTAACAGGGCCATGCCTGTGTTCCCAGGGGACAGAGCAAGAGGAAGTGTTTCCCAGAACATTCAGAGGAAGAGAGGCTTTGGAAGAGAGCCAGAATGGGAGGGAAAAGCCTGAATGGGCCTTCACTTGGCTTGTGCCTTCAACAAGTGACTCGTTTTGAGCCTGATGGCAAAATTCCTCACACCAGAGGGCATCCTCTGTGTAGACTAGCCGCTTTCCAAGGTGAGTAAACAGCTTCCCTAGAGATATTCTCTTCCAGGTAAGACATTGTCTTTAAAAGACTAGATTAATGGTGAGGAAAGACCTCAGAGCTTAGAGAGGACAAGCCATCTTTGAGTGGTTAGTTTAAGGAAGAGAGAATCGCCTTTTCCCAGCACTGTCGGGACTGTCCCCTAGCTCTCAGCAGACTGCAGACTTTAGACAGAGACACTGAGAGAGAAACGAAAGCAAAGTCATGCAGGTTCTGCACTGAAGCAGAAGAAATCAGCAAACTGAAGTTGACAACATTCAGCAGGAAACGAGGGGGGAACTATTGTAAGACCAGCAGACGTGAGGGAAAGGAGGCAATGGACATATGGCCTTTGTTTCCCTTAAAGAAACCAAAACACAGCCCAGGAAGACTCCCCCTTCACACTCAAAAGGCAGGTAAAGAAATGCAAGTAGCCCACCAAAAGCAGCACAAGGATGGCACGGGACTGGGGCATAAAACCTTCATCCTGGAAAGATACAGAGGTCCACACAACAAGCAGGGGAGAAAGCATTTCTTAAATAAAACAAGAAGTTAAAGGGAAATATTTGGAGGGAACATAGATCATAAAAAAAATGAAAAAGAGGCAGCTAACCTTCACTTTCGGGTTTGGGGTGGGAGCAGAGACACAGGACAGGGGTGGGGGTGGAACAAAGGCTGGAGTCTGAGCAAGCGAGCAGAGCAGGGGGGCAGGAGGCAGGGGAGGGTGCAGCCCCAATCCTAGACCGCAGCCTGCGGCCCTGCGCCTACCTGATGGTGCCGTCCTTCTCCTTGCACTGCTGCTCCAGCTTCAGGATCCTCTGCTTCAGCCCGTTAATGACCTGCCCGGGGAACGCACCCATCAGGCAGGCTGCCCCTGCTCTCCCTTGGGAGACGCTGCTGTCCCCTCCTCCCAGAGCAGGTGCACACCTCGCTGTCCTTCCTCCCTCCAGCGCTGTCCTTCTAGAGTATGGGCCCAGGGAAGAGGGAGGGTCCCACTGTGCTGTCCTCTCTCTGGGTGAGTGTCAGGGGTGCAACGCCCGCTGGAGCAGGAGGTGGCAGCCACAGTGGGCACACTGACTGACTGGCAGCCCTCCCCAAGCACACCACGCGCTTGGGAGATAGAGCAGGGTATGCCCTTGGTCATGTTAAATAAAGGAAGCAGCCCCATCACCAGCTGGCCCCAACCCCCTAGGGCCGCCCAGTTCAGTCTTCATGGGCAGTGAGTGGGGCTGGAAGATAGCATGGCCGTGGGGGGGTCCAAGGAGCTGCAACCCACCATCTGGGTAAGGGAGAACAGCTCCAGCGGCCTCACTACCTCCTTCTCTCTGAAAGTCTTGCTTGCGGGAGGTAACATCCTTATATTCCTTAAAGATCATTCTTTTCTTCTGAATAGACAACTTTTAAATAGACATGGAGTTTCACTATGTCGCCCAGGCTGGTGTTTTACTCCTGGCTCAAGCAATCTGCCGGCCTTGGCCTCCCAAGTACTAGAATTATGGGTGTGAGCCACTATACCAGGTTTGAATAGGCAACTTTAAAATTGAATTTTAAAGTTTTAAATAACATTCAGTGGCTCATGCCTGTAATCCTAGCACTTTGGGAGGCTGAGGCAGGCAGATGACTTGAGGTCAGGAGTTGGAGACCAGCCTGGCCTACATGGTAAAACCCCATCTCTACTAAAAATACAAAAATTAGTGGGTGTGGTGGTAAGTGCCTGTAGTCCTAGCTACTCAGGAGGCTGAGGCAGGAGAATCACTTGAACTGGGAAGGTGAAGGTTGTAGTGAGCCAAGATCGCACCACCACACTTTAGCCTGGGCAACAGGGGGAAATTCAAAATAAATAAACAAATAAATTACCTTAGTCATATATGAATACATTTTCTTTAAAAAAATGAAGATGTTGGGCCGGGTGCGGTAGCTCATACCTGTAATCCCAGCACTTTGGGAGGCCAAGGTGGTTGGATCACCTTAGGTCAGGAGTTTGAGACCAGCCTGGTCAACATGGTGAAACCCCCGTCTATACTAAAAATACAAAAACAATAGCTGGGTGTGGTGGTGGGCACCTGTAATCCCAGCTACTTGGGAGGCTGAGGCAGGAGAATCGCTTGAATCTAGGAGGCGGAGGTTGCGGTGAGCCGAGAT